TTTTCCTGCTTAAATTGGAATAAAATGAAACTTTTTTTATATAAATTAAATATATCTCAAAATATTTTATGTGCTAGTATTGTGTTATTTCCGTTAAAAACTATTTATTTGTTTATTTTGAAAATGATATAATACCCAAACAATCGCCAAGTAAGAACTGAATATTTAATATCTAATTTGTGTACCTAAAGAAAAAATTCATGACCTTCAGATTAAACCACTAGAGATTTTTTAAGTGTTTAATTATGGGAAGTTAAAGTGAGGGTGATTTGCTGACTGGAAAAATATCACACTCTATACAGGGTGTTTCAGAATAAATTAGCGTAAGAAGGGGGATTTGTAGATAGATCTCAACTAATTATTAAGAGAAGCTAAATATAATTTTGCTGTAAACGCCCCAATGTTCATTATACAGGGTGCTAAAGTAAAGGGGTTGATTTGAGGGTGATTTCCAGCACGGAAAATATTCTAAGATATACATCAAATAGAAGACATAAATACAAGCTAATTTGTTCATAAAAAATTAATTTACTTGCACTTTAAGTCAGTAAAGATTTTTTAAATATTTAATATAAGGGGTGGATTTGAGGGTGATTTACAGCCCGGCAAAATATTTTGAGATATACATTAGGTTGAGCACATAAAGATTATCAAATTTATATAAAAAAAGTTTCATTTTATTTCAATTTAAGCAGGCCAAGAGTTTTTAATGGTTTAATATAAGGGCTGGATTTAAGGGTGATTTCCTGCCCGGCAAAATATTCTGACATATACATCAAATAGAAGACATAAATACACGCTAATTTGTTTATAAAAAAAATTAATTTACTTGCCTTTTAAGCCAGTAAAGATTTTTTTAAATATTTAATATAAGGGGTTGATTTGAGGGTGATTACAGCCCGGCAAAATATTTTGAGATATACATTAGGTTGAGTACGTAAATATTATCAGATTTATATAAAAAAAGTTACATTTTATTCCAATTTAAGAAGGCTAAGATTTTTGAAGTGTTTAATATAAGGGCTGGATTTGAGGGTGATTTCCTGCCCGGCAAAATATTCTGACATATACATCAAATAGAAGACATAAATACAAGCTAATTTGTTTATAAAAAAAATTAATTTACTTGCCTTTTAAGCCAGTAAAGATTTTTTTAATATCTAATATAAGGGGTGGATTTGACGGTGATTTACAGCCCGGCAAAATATTTTGAGATATACATTAGGTTTAGTACGTAAATATTATCAGATTTATATAAAAAAAGTTTCATTTTATTCCAATTTAAGAAGGCTAAGATTTTTGAAGTGTTTAATATAAGGGCTGGATTTGAGGGTGATTTCCTGCCCGGCAAAATATTCTGACATATACATCAAATAGAAGACATAAATACACGCTCATTTGTTTATAAAAAAATTAATTTACTTGCATTTTAAGCCAGTAAAGATTTTTTTAATATTTAATATAAGGGGTTGATTTGAGGGTGATTTACAGACCGGCAAAATATTTTGAGATATACATTAGGTTGAGTACGTAAATATTATCAAATTTATATATAAAAAGTTTCATTTTATTCCAAGTTAAGAAGGCTAAGATTTTTGAAGTGTTTAATATAAGGGCTGGATTTGAGGGTAATTTCCAGCCCGGCAAAATATTTTGACATATACATCAAATAGAAGACATAAATACAAGCTAATTTGTTTATAAAAAAATTCATTTACTTGCATTTTAAGTGAGTAAAGATTTTTTAAATGTTTAATATAAGGGCTGGATTTAAGGGGGATTTCCAGCCCAGCAAAGTATTCTGAGATATATATCAAATAGAAGATACAAATAGAAGCTAATTTGTTTAAAAAAACATTTATTTACTTGCATTTTAAGCTAGTAAAGATTTTTTTAATATTTAATATAAGGGGTTGATTTGAGGGTGATTTACAGACCGGCAAAATATTTTGAGATATACATTAGGTTGAGTACTTATATAAAAAAAGTTACATTTTATTCCAATTTAAGAAGGCTAAGATTTTTGAAGTGTTTAATATAAGGGCTGGATTTGAGGGTGATTTCCTGCCCGGCAAAATATTCTGACATATACATCAAATAGAAGACATAAATACAAGCTAATTTGTTTATAAAAAAAATTAATTTACTTGCATTTTAAGCCAGTAAAGATTTTTTTAATATCTAATATAAGGGGTTGATTTGAGGGTGATTTACAGCCCGGCAAAATATTTTGAGATATACATTAGGTTGAGTACGTAAATATTATCAGATTTATATAAAAAAAGTTTCATTTTATTCCAATTTAAGAAGGCTAAGATTTTTGAAGTGTTTAATATAAGGGCTGGATTTGAGGGTGATTTCCTGCCCGGCAAAATATTCTGACACATACATCAAATAGAAGACATAGATACAAGCTAATTTGTTCATAAAAAAATTAATTTACTTGCATTTTAAGCCAGTAAAGATTTTTTTAATATTTAATATAAGGGGTTGATTTGAGGGTGATTTACAGCCCGGCAAAATATTTTGAGATATACATTAGGTTGAGTATGTAAATATTATCAGATTTATATAAAAAAAGTTTCATTTTATTCCAATTTAAGAAGGCTAAGATTTTTGAAGTGTTTAATATAAGGGCTGGATTTGAGGGTGATTTCCTGCCCGGCAAAATATTCTGACATATACATCAAATAGAAGACATAAACACAAGCTAATTTGTTTATAAAAAAATTAATTTACTTGCATTTTAAGCCAGTAAAGATTTTTTTAATATTTAATATAAGGGGTTGATTTGAGGATGATTTACAGCCCGGCAAAATATTTTGAGATATACATTAGGTTGAGTACGTAAATATTATCAGATTTATATCAAAAAAGTTTCATTTTATTCCAATTTAAAAGGCTAAGATTTTTGAAGTGTTTAATATAAGGGCTGGATTTGAGGGTGATTTCCTGCCCGGCAAAATATTCTGACATATACATCAAATAGAGGACATAAATACAAGCTAATTTGTTTATAAAAAAATTAATTTACTTGCATTTTAAGCCAGTAACGATTTTTTTAATATTTAATATAAGGGGTTGATTTGAGGGTGATTTACAGCCCGGTAAAATATTTTGAGATATACATTAGGTTGAGTACGTAAATATTATCAGATTTATATCAAAAAAGTTTCATTTTATTCCAATTTAAGAAGGCTAAGATTTTTGAAGTGTTTAATATAAGGGCTGGATTTGAGGGTGATTTCCTGCCCGGCAAAATATTCTGACATATACATCAAATAGAAGACATAAATACAAGCTAATTTGTTTATAAAAAAATTAATTTACTTGCATTTTAAGCCAGTAAAGATTTTTTTAATATTTAATGTAAGGGGTTGATTTGAGGGTGATTTACAGCCCGGCAAAATATTTTGAGATATACATTAGGTTGAGTACGTAAATATTATCAAATTTATATAAAAAAAGTTTCATTCTATTCCAATTTAAGAAGGCTAAGATTTTTGAAGTGTTTAATATAAGGGCTTGGATTTGAGGGTGATTTCCTGTCCGGCAAAATATTCTGACATTTACATCAAATAGAAGACATAAATACAAGCTAATTTGTTTATAAAAAAATTAATTTACTTGCATTTTAAGCCAGTAAAGATTTTTTAAGTTTTTAATATAAAGGCTTTTTTTGAGGGTATATAATTTTTTGTAATTTAGATTCATACGATTTATTACAGTTTGTTTACAATTTTTTAATTCTTCACGGCCCAGCCATGGATTCGCGGCCCAGCCATGGATTCACAGCCCAGCCATGGATTGATTACCGCTGGCGCTTTGGTTCCCGCCGTCAAACTCATGGCTGGAACTCGTGGCTGTTGTCACGCCGGTGATAAAGATTCCCATTTAAAAAAACAAAGTCCTCCTCAATATGGCCATATTATGGTCAACTATAAAAAAAATGAATTAAGCCAAAATGTTTCCCCCAAAAAACTAAAATTTTTGTCTGAAACTTTTTTTTCTAAAATGCGTATTTCCGGCGGTATTTAACTGTAACACTTTAATTTGAACACCAGGTATAAAGGAATGTAATGCTAATGAAATGAAACACTCTGTACATCAGATGTCTATTGGAACTAACTTATAATAACTATTTAAACGGAAATATATATGTATCAGGTTCCTTTCACCAAAATATTAGAACAATTCCACTGTATTTTTTTTTTTTAAATCTTATATAGGGTCTCACCCTGTATACCAGTTGTATGTACAAAAAATATGAAAGCAAATAGAGAATTATAATAAGTACAATGAAAAAAAAAATGTCACTTATTTTTGTGCTAATATTGACAAAAACAGGCATTTTATGATAATGTGAAATTCTGAAATAGTAATTTTGGACACCCTGTAAATCAAGAACTGTTAAACTTAGAGCTTTGGTGCACTGGAGATATTTAATCCATAGGTCAAGTTCTAAAACATCAAAATTTCATCAAATTCTAACCGAAGGGTATTTTACATTTAAAACGTGCCCGCTCCTTTGTTGGCTGTTTTCTTATAATGTGTGTTAATTAGTCAACTATCTTTAAATCTCATCAAAAATAGTTTGACCGAAGCAGAAGCTCTTATGCTCTCCCGATTGTTATTGACGTTTCTAAGGTTTAAACTTAAACCTTAAAGATATTTTCATTTATGAGCTCCTACTATATACTTAAGTACTCATTCTCAATATTAGGTGATAAGACAGATAATGTATCACATCTTGTGGTCACCTATTCAGAATGTGACTAGAAACAGGGCTGAACTGTAAATAGAATTAAAGTAACATGGACAGCCTGTCTAGATGTTTCAATTTTATAGGCCTTTAACATGAAGCAAGTTTATTTGACTCTCAATCTGCAGCATGTGTTAAGACGAGTAAGATTATAAAATACTTAGTATTAAAAATATTCATTGTAAAGATGTACTATTTTCTATATTGCCAATGCAGTATTATTTGTTAACACACTCACCATGCATCCTTTGATTTCTGCAGATATATCGGAATACTCCAGGACATCCATGTTTAATTATTGGTTACTGATACATGAACTTCCTAAAATAAGGCAGTACGAATTACCTTGCCACTACAACTAAACTAACTACAAATAACACAATACAATTTTTTCCTTTTAAAACAGGTCCCCGGCTTAATTTTTATCAATTCACTCCTTTCTCCCTCTTCTCTTTTGGAGCCAAATTTATTTTTAAAATGTCAAGTGTCAAGTTGATGAAGTTGAAGTTGACAATGTTGACATTTGACATTAAAATGTTTCTATTTGAAGCGATCGGCTATTCAATTGCTGAGTACGACTTCTAGCATGACCGAAATTGAATTTTTAAGGGCTGCTTTATAATTGAAAATTCACTAAAATTTTACGTAAAGACTAACCTAAAACTAACTTTAACCCAACTCTGGGGGTATACTATAAAAAAGACTAGAAATAATTCGACAAACGAAGAATTTTATCAAAGAATTCGATGATAGATTTTTAGCGAGTTTGGTGCATATAATACATTTTACCCCCAGGGGGTCGATTCTCGACTTGTAGGAATATTTTCCTATAGGAATTTTTGACATTTTTATATACATCGAAAATTTATGACATTTTCCTACATATAGGAAAGTGTCACAAATTCCTATAGGAAAAGGTTCCTACAAGTCGAGAATCGACCCCCAGGGGTAGTATTCTCGAATCACGAATACCAACATTCGCATACGTGTTTTACAATGTGTCTCACTTTGTTGAACAAAAACCAAGTGAGACCCCTATTGTTGTTTTTAAGTATATTTGCTATGGTGATCAAATTTCCTATGCAGCCTTCTTATTTGAAATTAAATCAATAAGATCTCTTACAATAAATTGAAACTCTCAGTGAATTTATTCAAATAATTAAATTTAATTTCAATTATTTATATATACGCTACAAATAGAAATATTTCGATATGCTGTGATGCGAGATGCGATGTTTGTTATTGCGATGGGACCAATGAACTGAAGTGAGGTAGAATGCCAATGTGCATCTTGTATTAATAGAACTAGGTGCGACTCTATGGGCGCAGCCACTTTTATCAGAAAATGGTTATTATAAATAATCCCGAGTGAGATGAAAAATGCCCATAAAGTCGCATGTCAAGCATATTAACAAGCATTCTACCTCACTCCAGTTCATTGGGTGGGATAGGCCAAGGTCTGCGACCTTTCCGGTTGTGATTTCGCGTGTTTCCAGTCCGCTATTTTCACTGGTGAGTGATGCGATCTGTTAAACACATCTCGGTGTCGTAAAATACGCGAATGCGTGTATCGTAATCGCGTTCTTTCCCTACATTTAAAATACTTGTAATAATTGTTTTCGCAAATCTGCACACTAGAAAGGATTGATCTTAATTTTAAAATTTAAAATCCAACAGATACGTTCACATTTTTGTTTTTTTTTTACGTAATAATAATATATTAATAATACTCTCCCTAATTCATCCCCTTACGAGTTACTTTTAACCCCAAAAGCTGAACTCGTCCAGGGAAAGTCCGGGTAAATTGTGCTACTTTAATAATTTAGTTCTCTTTTTTTAATATTTTGATTATTTTTTCAACCAGCCACTTTTTTGTATACTTTAATTGTAAATCCAAAATTAAAGATTTTAATAAAAAAAACTTGATTGTTTTTATAAAATGTGAATTGCAGTTACTCATTACATTCCCTTGTATCGATACCACGGCTACGCCACTGCTCGCCTCGATTTCCTATATAAAATTAAAATGAAAAAAGTTATTTCATCAATCTATCAATGGCACATACTTCAATGGTGAACTAACAGCACTCTGTCTTTTTATCCAACGTTGCTGCAATCGATGCAACACCAATCCATCAGTTTCAAGTATGGTTTTTCCACTGATCTGTAGATCAGTGGGTTTTTCCGATTAGATGTAGCAACTATGACAGTTGGATTGAGGGAATTAAATATTTATTTAATTGTTCTATTGTGGGAAAAACCGGAAAAATGGACTTTTAAAAAAACATACTTTCAAATTAAGGCATAAAGGTCCATGCAAATAAAATTATAAACACAAATTTGAATGCCAAATGTCAGCTGGTATTTTCTCAACGGTCAACCATAAATAAACTGAATCCAACACAAGGCGTTTAAAGTCGCATCGGTGGAACAACGATTCCAACAAACCGATGGAAGAAAGGCACGTACTCCGATCACAGACGGCACGTTTTGGAGTTAAAAGTGTGACATGAAGCTGTAATTGTCGAACTCACCTAAAAAATCCTTTCGGTTGGCCGTTGGGTGCAGTGTTGCCAGTCTATTACAAATATACTAGATCTAGTACATTCTCTAAGAATCTGGTACTCTAGTACACTTGAAGCAAAATCTAGTACTTTTTCAGCGTGTTTCCATCATTTGACGCACAATAAAGCACGTACCATCATTTGTAAAACACATGTAAAATATACTAAGGACCGATTCCACCGTTGTGTTAAACGAAGTTTAAAATGACATTTTTACATTAACAAAGTCATTAATCTCCGTTTAACACAACGGTGGAATCGGTCTTAAGGTATTTTTCGCAGCATAAACCAACATGAACGTTTATGATTAATTATGATAGCTATTATTTAATTCGAGTAAATAGAAAACCGGTTTTTCCTCTTTATCTGCAACGCAGAAAATTTGTATTTTTGTCTCCCTGAGATTCAAGAATAGATACCTGTTATTTGGACATCTATATGAGTTTAAAATGACATTTTTACATTAACAATGTCATTTAATTAATCTCCGTTTAATACAACAGTGGAATCGGCCCTAAACGAAGATTAAAATGTTAATGTAAAAATGTCATTTTAATCTTCGTTTAGTAATTTAAACTTCATTTAACACAACGGTGGAATCGGCTCGAAGGGTCGATTCCACCGTTGTGTTAAACGGAGATTAAAATGACATTGTTATTGATGTAAAAATGTAATTTTAAACTTCGTTTAACAAAACGGTGGAATCGGTCCTCTATCACAAATGTTTATATTGGTTTATGCCGCGAAAAATACCTTACTGTTGGGTTCTTCCCACTGAACTCTGCAGTGGTTCTTCCTTATTTGGATCCGTTCTCTATGAAGCTTTTTTTTTAATTAAACCACTTTAATTTTACATACAATTACTTTTATAGAATCGGGTCCGGTAAAGGATCCTGAGGTGCGAAATTCACAAAAAAAATTTAAACACTCAAAAGTAACTAGTTTCTATAGTAAATTTTGGAAAAAAAATTTATGGATGAAGCAGTATTTTTCGAAAAAAATTGAATTAAAAATCCCAATTTTACAGGTTATAATCACAAAACAATTAGGCATTCCAACGACCTGTCAAACAATAGGTGCCAGTGGGAAATTCTTGTATATTTAAGGGGGTAGCGACATAGTCTTGCAACTTGGACGCTATTTTTATTCGAAGTAGTACTCGTCAAGCCTGCCAATTTATGAAGAAATGTATAGGTGGGTTTTTTAAATATTATTTTTATTGTGTTTGACATAAAATATTTAAATGTAATCCATTATTTTTCTGAAACCCAGGTCCAGGATGCTTTAAAAAACATTAAACCTAAACGTACCACAGGACCGGATCATATTCCTGCGTTCATTTTAAAAGATTGTTCAGCAGTATTAGCTCGCCCTCTAACTATTTTGATAAATATCTGCCTTAAATCCAATACAATTCCTTCGATGTGGAAATGTTCTAAAGTCTGCCCAATTTTTAAAAAAGGTGAACGTACTGATATCAAAAATTATAGGCCGATTTCTATCATTTGCAATTTCTGCAAAATTCTAGAAATATTACTGGAACGTAGTATTTATCAACATGTTTGTAATGCAATCTCAGCTCAGCAACATGGTTTTGTTAAAGGGCGTTCCACAGTAACAAATCTTTCTGTGATCACACAGCAAATAGCTGAAAATATTGATAATCGGGTCCAAACTGACGTCATCTATACGGATATGACAAAAGCATTTGATAGACTTGATCATAATATTATGATACAGAAACTCTGCGCATTTGGTCTTTCTAATAGTTTGATCACACTTTTTCAATCGTATCTCTCTCAAAGAACACAATATGTTCAATTAAATGGATTCAAGTCTAACAAATATTGCGCCACCTCTGGTATACCGCAAGGTTCAAATTTGGGTCCGCTGTTATTTAATATTTTTATCAACGACATTGGTGACGCTATAAATGTTGATTATTTGCTGTATGCTGATGACTTAAAAATATATTTAGCTATTGAAAATATTTCTGACTGTGAACAGTTGTCGGAAAATTTGAACAAAGTTGTTGAATGGTGCAACAAAAATGGTCTTACACTGAATCCCGTCAAATGTAACGTAATGTCATACACATTAAAAGCGCATCCAATTAAATTCGATTATGTCCTTGATGGACGTTTGCTTTCTAAACCCAACAATTTTATGGATTTAGGGGTTACATTTGACCCAGTATTGTCGTTTAAATACCACATAGATAACATCTCAACAGCTGCAAATCGTATGTATGGATTCATAGTACGAGTGGGCCGTGATTTTAAAAACCCAGATACTATTAAATCATTGTATTTCTCATTTGTTCGATCTAAACTCGAATATGCCTCGTTTATTTGGGATCCTTATTATCAAATACACATTTGTCGGATAGAGTCCACACAAAGGCGTTTCCTCAAATACTTAAGTTTTCGGGCAGACCAAATTTATCCACCGATTGGTATTACTCAAAATGCTTTACTGACTAGACACAGATTGACAAGTCTCGACGTAAGACGAAAGTACTTCTCCATAATTACCCTCTACAAAGTTGTTAATTTTAAAATCAATTGTGAAGCTCTTTTACATATGCTTAATTTTAGAATCCCACGCGCAACCTCTCGAAACACTGAATCATTTTACATAGCGACTCCTCGGACAAACGTTCTGAAGTTTTCACCTGTATATAACATGTGTAATAATTATAATAATATTAGTGAACAGTTGGATATATTTAATTGCAGTGTTAAAAACATAAAAACACATTGTTTAAAATAATTTTGAATTTATTTACTGTAATTTTAGATTAATTATCTATATGCCTTTTGTTAAACTGTTTTCTTTCAAATGTACTCCTGTTCTGTAATTGGGTTTAACCTGTTGAACAATGTATAAATAAATAAATAAATAAATAAATAAATAAATAAATTATTCATGATTTTACGTAAAGTAGATAGAATACACCATATGTCGCCACCCTTAGATATACCAAACCTGCCCACTGGTAATTCATTTGTTTGGAATGCCTAATTACTCTAAATGACAGTTTCTGACGTTTCTGTCTTAAAAATAACAAACGTTGCCAAGTTGTTAATAAAATTATAAGTTTAAGGATTATTTAAATTTATAATCCATAAATTTTTCGTTTGGTTTTAAAAAGATAAGTACGGTAATAATCGTAAATAAAATGCAAAAATTAATATATCAACCAAATTAATTTTAAAAATGCAGCTCAAAAAAACTACATACAAAATTAAAAAGTGAAATTAATTAAATCACTCAACATGTAATACCTAGACAACTTATTTATAAATTTTCTTTCACTCAAAACGAAACAACGGCTTCCGCTAGCGTGGCGGCTTCGCCGCCACCAAAAAATTTTAATCCATACCTGGCTACGCCTACCGGCATAGATTCCAACGGCCTGGACACAGCTCAAATTGAAATGAAAAGTCTCACATAACACATTATAATCAAAATTCATACATTTTTCGTTTGCTTCAAAAAGATAAGTACGGTAATAATCGTATATAAAATGAAAAAATTAATATATCAACCAAATTAATTTTAAAAATGCAGCTCAAAAAAACTACATACAAAATTAAAAAATGAAATTAATTAAATCACTTAACATATAATACCTAGAAAACTTTTTTTAAATTTTCTTCTACTCAAAACGAAACAACGACTTCCGCTAGCGTGGCGGCTTTGCCGCCACCAAAAAATTTTAATCCATACCTGGCTACGCCTACCGGCATAGACTCCAACGGCCTGGACACAGCTCAAATTGAAATGAAAAGTTTCACATAACACATTATATTTTCACCTATAACTTATTTTCTTCTCATTCAAACAGAAATCTTAAACTTGGAAATTATCAGTGATAAAAATCAACAATATAGTATGGCAGCGTTGCAAACTCGAGGGCCTTATGTCCCAGTATAAAGAACAATACAGTAGCGACAGGTTGCGTCGGCTTCTTTGATGTCGGGGTGGTCAGATTTTCAATGACAGTTGACGTTTTTGTCGCTTATTTCTACACGGAGAAAAGTAAAATCTAAAATTGCAAATTAGCGATGTACAATTAGAAAAAAATTAAAACATGTACATATAACATTTTAATGCATGGTATAAAAATTTTAATGTATTCTAGGCAAATAAATTAATCAAAATATTGTGTAACTTAAATAAATGAGTTCCGGTGAAAATATAGATGTGCCAATTTTAAAATTTTATCATTAGAATAAAATAAATTACTTTTGTATGCCATTCATTGTATGAAATGTGTCAAACAGTTTTTGGTTTCTTCCTGGAACTAATAAATTAACTCAGCACCTTATTTTTTTATTTAAAATGAGGTTATGTAGGTATCTTTTTAGAAGTGAAACAACATATAACAATAATATTTATTAAAACACACAATTACAAATTAGTAAGTTTTTAATGAATTTACAATACAAGAATTATTTTATTTCAATTTTTGTTCCTACGTACAAATTTTTGACTTCAGATGAGTTTTAGCAAATGCCTGTTGTAAGTCACCCGTTAAGCAAAATGCTGCCCAATTGCTTATATTACCTATGTATATAATTAAATACTATTAACGTCACATCATAAAAATTAGATGTTTATATTTTAACGATTTTATGGTTTAAAATTTGTATGGGAATGGTTATCTGCTGCGGGATTTAAATATGTAATGGCTAGAAGAATCAACAGTGACTGTCTAGAAAAATTTGTTGGGTCCATTAGGCAACAGGGTGGGAATTTAATTAATCCAACACCTGTACAATTCGAAAGGGCATTTAAAAAACGTTTTTGTCAAAATTATCTTCATTGCAATTCCATGAATTGTAATGAAGACCTGGACAAGCACTTGCTACAATTAGATGTAAAAAATATTGTCTCTCTGTATCCTGAAATAAATAAAAACACTCAAGAAGCTGTTTTTCTTCCTAATTACAGCTACAGGACAAGATATAATAGTTCAAAATCCATTTAAATATGTTTGTGGCTATTTGATCAAAAAAGCTTTAGGCATACATGGATGTGATACATTTATTAAATTTTCAAAAGAATGTGAAGATTTGGATAGTTCACAGATTTTAACATATGATTGCAAATAAAGCACTTATGGAGGCCTAAAAACTCCAAATGAAAAGTTTATTATCTATATATTTAAATTATAAAAAAATGTTATATCTATTTTTAGCAATACCTGTGTAATGTCTGGTATATCCCATAGCTTTTTTTGATATTATGAAAGAAACAGAATTTAATCATCCTTGTCCTAATTTCCCTAACGTATATATCATACAACTGTTTATAAGATTATATATATTATTGTTTAAGTGCTTAAATATTGTATAAATGAAACAAATCAAAAATTAAAAAACAGTTAAAATAATAACACCACAAAATACATTTTTTTGTTTTCTTTTTGCTACTTTACAAGAAATACATATATATTTTGATTAGATGTAGTCAATCAGAACATTTTTAATCAATGGACATAGTGAATCAAAGAACATCTAATTCATTATAATAATTTGGAGGTAGGATTTTTGATTAAGAATGTCCAAAGGTTGCACATGGTACGCTTTCAAAAATGTCTCGTTCATGTTCAATGATAGTCTCAACAGAGGAAGCACTTGGTCGATGTACTAGGGAGAAGATAGACATTTGGCTGATGACCTAGATGGATAAAAAATGTGGGAACAGCAGTAGGCAATAAACGTTTACGGTTCAACGTTTTAGAAAAAAATTCTTCTCAAAATGTTTCTCACACAACCTGTAATTCCGATGAAGACTGTTCACATCTATGTTACTCAAATCTTCCCTATTACAAGCTCTTAACCACATGTTGGCCCTAAAATATAAAAAAGTTGATAACAAATGTTTAGATTGACGGTAGTTCAGAAATTATATATTTTTTACATTATTTTTGTTGAAATTGTAAAAATTGTCCTCAAGACATTTAAATAATAAATATTTGGTTGTCAAATAAATATTTGGTTTTCAAATATAAAAATTGAAAGTATTTTCTCAAGACATACCTTTATGGCTCCATGGGAAATGCAAAATAACTTGTCCCTTTGTCTGTTTACTCTGTTTGAGATGGACAAGGGCGATAGACACATCTCTTTTTTTTCTGATCAGGTGCAGAAGCCATTTCAAAAATATCACACAATAAATGAAAAACTAAAATAATAAAAATGTCTCAAAATATACACTGCAAACAAACAAAAATAATGTCATATTTACATCGCATTGACACTATTGACGTTGACGTTTTTGTCGCTTATTTTCGGACATGCGCAGAAAAATATGGACACCTCATAAAAAATGATCTGTCGCTACTGTATTATTCTTTATACTGGGCTTATGTGTCAAGAACTGACAATTTCATGAATCACTTTTGCTGCGTTTGAGAATCCACATCGGATGCATCTGAGATGTAAAAAATCTTTGATCACGTGATTCAGTATACGTAAATGTAATGGGACAGATGTGTCCGATGTGGATAAAAAAACGCTCGAGATGTAAAAAATGCATCCGATGTGGATTCTCAAACGCATTTATTTTAGGTTTTATGGAAGGAAATGATGAAAAGTTAGGTTAAATCAGTCAAAATATTGCATTTTATTATAATATAGATAAAAATAGCAAATGAAACGTATTCTTCCATATTTAATTTCAGTTAAAATATTATAAAAAGTAAGTTACTTCAATATATTAATGCTAAAATTATGAAATTCGCACCTCAGGATCCTTTACCAGAACCATAGAATCTGATACATTTTATAGAATCTGGTACATTTTTATGGAATCTGGTACATTTTTTAGACACATAACAAAAACATATTCTGGCAACACTGGTCTGATTGGGTGTTTTGACTTTGACAAATTTTGTGTTTGACAAATTTTCACTTGATATAAATGTCAAAATTTACACATACACACTCGAGCATGGAGAACCAGTCATAGGAAAATTCTCCTAAGCTTCACCCCTTACCTCAAGGCCCCCTTTACCGTCGCGGCCCATAGCCAAATGTCGCGACCCCCTCTTTCCTGTCTGGGTGTTTATGTAGCTTTGATGGACATAACCTCTAATATTTGTGTAAATAACTATACGAAGTAGTGATGTGGTTTTCAAAGAGATGTTCCTGTAATAATGAACAAATATCATTTTAGTAATTTTAAGTAAATTATTTAACTATGGCCGTTAGCAGTTGGATGATTAGACATCAAAACAGATATAATAGGTCAGGTAAGCTCTTTCTATTAGAAATTGATAACTGTAGCATTTTGTGACCTAATTTAACTTTTGCAGCGAGGCATAATAAACAGGAAGATGTGCTGGCACAGTTACAAAGTTTAGGTAAGTCGTATTACTCATTTCCTCATTAATTTTTATAGTAACCAAACTTTAATTTTCACGCGAAAGATAGGCCAATATATTAAAACATTTTTATAATTTATTTGCATTTTTACTTAAATCGTGCGCTACAATATATATATTTGAATATTGACAGTTAAAATGATTATTATTTTCTTTTAAAGTATGTGAAAATGAGAACTTAAATTTTGTAAACAAGGTCATATATAATTAAAACCTGAATTGTAATTGAAAAACAAATCAATTTGGAGTGGGTAAAAATGATGGTAGATTCTCTCAAAAACACAATATCAAATGCAAAAAATATTTTTTGTTTTTTAATTTTGTGTTTTAAGTAGTTATATCCAAGAAAAACAAGATGAAGAAACTATTTTTAACATTTTTCCTTTTATAGATTTTAGAGCACTATGTACTATACTATATCATGACCTTTAAATTGATTCAAAGTCCCAGTTATAAATTTTAGGATATTGTCCAAATACAATAACTGAAGAGTGGAAATTACAAATGTGCTAAGTGTCAAAAATAAAAACTTATGTTAAAGAAAAAATATTTGTCACAAAAGCACTGGACTTGCTTGTAGTATCATCATCTTTCACTGAAGCTGGAATGTATAGAATTTCAAGTTGGCACCTGATCATTAGATAAGTTTGTGGCAATGGCACATAGATCGTTATTAAGGAATAATCTCAGAATAATAAAAATTGGCTCTAGCACTTTTTATTTTCCTATTGTAATAGATACCACCTATCTTTCTGACTTTTACAGATCACTTTCATTTGGTTGATTAAGCCAGTGTTCTGTGCTTCTTTTAAACCACAGTTTATCCACTCTTCGATTTCCACTTCACAAATGTCTTCAATAATTATTTTATGAAGTCATTAGGTTCTGGTAATCCTCAATATCTTCGTTTATTTTCAACTTGTATTTTATCTTCAATTTTATTACTTAACTACATCTTCTCCATGTATAATATTTTTTATGAGACCTTCGAAACATCTATTTGTTTAAAATTTCTGGGATGTAGAAAAGATCCTTATTTTGGATTTGCTTATATTTGATTTTATCACTCATCACTGATTCTGTTATTTCCGAGGGGGAACTTTTACTTTGCATTATCATCAGGAGGATCAGGATGCATTTTAAATATTTAGTCTTCCTTTTGTTGAAATAGAAATGAATTTATTCATCTTTGAGAATTATACACTATACAAAGACACTAGGTACATAATGTAAAATCATATCAGACTAGTCAAAAAAGTGTTAAGTAAAATACATTAAAAAATAAAAAAATAGAATAAAATATATATAATAGACAATTCATGTTAAGATTAGTTTAAAAGTTCAAAAAATCTTCTATACTATAAAATACATTATTTACAAGAAAATCATTAAGGCTGCGACATTTGATCCAGCGGTTTCGCAACAAAGCAAGTATTCAATACATTGTACATAGATGGCAATACCTGTACCTGCAGCTCGTATAACAATTTTATTTTTAAGCGTACTTGTTTTTATATCCAGGTTGCCAAATCTAGGTAGACAGATACCAATAAATGTTTTAGAAGAATAATATATTTTGCGATATCCAGTTTCAATTTAATAATTGCACTGTTACATGAAAAATTAATCTGTCAAAACTTGTACCTAGTTGGTAAGTAGTAAGTAGGTTAAATGTAACAAGAAGAAAAAAAACATTAAATTTTACTTTAGAATAATATTTCAACATTTATTAACATTATTGGTATATTGTATTCACTTGTAAACTATATTTGACGGTCATAATAATAATTTTAATCCTAAAGAACCGGGTCAATTGAACTTTTCCACATCGCAATTTTTGGGTTGGAGTGAAAGGTATTTTATGGTTGGGTAGAAATTTTATTACTTTATGGTTTTTCCTAATCCGAAGGGTTTTGTTTACATTTTACCTAAAAATTTGCAAAACTTCTATAAATATAAATCGATTATTTTGGAATTTAAATGATTCCTCGATTCATTTCGGTAATAAAATAAGAATTTTTAATTTTTTATGCCTACTTATGCTGCGTTTGAGAATCCACATCGGATGCATTTTTTACATCTCGAGCGTTTTTTTATCCACATCGGACACATCTGTCCCATTACATTTACGTATACTGAACCACGTGATCAAAGATTTTTTACATCTCAGATGCATCCGATGTGGATTCTCAAACGCAGCATTATTAGGTAATGGTACCTCTAAAATGCATAATGATATTACTTAAGTAAAAATATAATTTGACAATAGCGTGATCGCTCATGCTTTTGTTGATTAGACAGAAATTGTGAAACTTAACAATCGATTGGATCGATTATTGTGAATTTCAGAACTAAGCAACTGGTAGTCTCTGGCAACTGACAAGACAAAAAACTCAAATGTCGAAGGATTGAAGTCTAAACGACAAAACGTAAACAGTTCGTTTTTCGTGTTTGAATTTTGGCAGATTTTTGAGTGAGTGTTGTTATTTTTTTGTGCTTTTTCGTTATTCGTGATTTTGTTACTTTTATAAGACTTCATTAGTTATAAGGATATTTAGTAGTTAGTGAATAAACTTTTACATTATAAAATATGGGGCATCATACAAATGTCCCGAGTAGAAAGAGGAAGAGAAATAAGATGTACAATTGGAAAGTCATGTGTTCCCAAAAGTCGTTTGGTTTCAAAGTTCCTCAAGGAATAAAAGTGTAACAAAAATTTAATGTTGAAAGATATATGAAGGATTCATTTCCAATATTTTTGACATCTGTATTATATTTTAGGTTGTTTTTATTGTAATATACTATAATCTTTTTTCTAATAAACTACTTTTTGTTTTATGTCTAATTTCCTTCCACCCATGTCCTATCAATAATTATTTTTGCAATAAACAAAAATATTTCGGTATTTTTGCAAGTTTTGAATTAGTTTTTATTAAAATTGCTCATAAACCGATACAATTAACATTAATAAAACTGATTATAATAACTACTTCAAACAAACTCAAAATTAATATTGCAGAAAAATATCCATTTGTACACCAGTTCATTGGCTTCAATTCTTAAAATTAGTCTTCATGACACGTGTATATGACATACAGTGAGTGCAATAAAGTTGGGTCCATATATATATATATATATATGGCAATTTGTTTTAATATTATGACCGGAAAAAACGTCATTTACCTCTGATTATTTAAAAAGTTGGCTACGTACGTTACTTACCTGTCAAATTCGTAATAATTTTGAAAAATCGCTCAAAAATCCTTTTTTAAACGAGACTGACAGAACTAAATCCAGTAGTCAAATTTAATATGGGTTGGTTTAAGTTTTTAAATAACCAGAGATGATGGTTTACGATGTTTTTTCCAATCGTAATATCAAAAAAAAAATCACATGGATCCAACTTATTGACACACACTGTATAAAGCAGGTTTGAGAACGTACAAAACTATATTTTTTTAATTCTTGTCAACTAACAAAAGTGCTTGTGCCTTAAAATCTTCCCGATTTTGTCTATGGAGAAAGATTTTGTCACTCAATAAATATCTTTAAAACCATTGTAAACATACATAGAACGGCAACGTCGTATTATCATTGATTATCATATACAAGTATATTTGAGCAACGGTTCGTTTTGTACTTTGAAATAATTTGACATGCCGTTTGCATTTCTAATTGGTCAACCAATAATTTGACATAAGACGTTTACTTTTCTGATTGGCAACCATTAGTTGTCGCCCAAGTTTCAATGCATATGTTAACTCAGCCTTGCATGTCGCATTGGTGGTGAACACGATGTACTAAAATGACATGATAATTAACGCGTCAATTTTAAAAATTGTGTCAAAATTTGCAAATTGAAATCATGCTTTTTGTAATAATTATTAGACCGACAGCCGTCATATTGTAGGATAGTTAATAAAAAATCATAGAGAATTCATTGAAAATAATTTGCTTAATCATCCTTGCAATAAAATTTTTCAAGTTTTTAATGATAATCAGAAATTATGATTAGTTATTATCGAATATATGTATATTCAATTCATTCTTACAACATTTCTGTTTATAATTATAACTCAATTTCCTTGTAATTTTTCTTTATTAATCTAAAAAGCATGATTTAGTAACACGTTGTAAAATGACAAAAACGGCCGCCATTTTTAGTCCATTTCCCAGCCTTAAGATGTTTTCTTAAATCATTAGGACTAAAACTAGACAAAAAACTAACATACATCAACCTTTCTCACGCCTAGAAATTGCTCAACACTCACCCAAGTATATTGGAATTAAATGCTATAATAAATTCAGTAGCATAATAGATAAAAATAATAGTCCCGAAATAGACAAAATAAAACAGTTTAAGAATAAACTTAAAGTATTTTTAGCAAAAAATGTATTTTACAGTGTGGAGGAATTCCTTAATTTTAATCCTTAATTGTTATCTCTAATATATTATTGTGTTAGTTTAAGTGTATGTATTGCAATTAATCTGTATTATATTGTTTTAATTTTAAATTGACTAGTCTGTTAGTACTTATACATTAAAAAATTGTGTTTTGTTTTCTATGTATAATACTTATGACAAATAAAATTCTATTCTATTCTAATTTGATGATAACCTGTAGTATCTTCTAATATGTTACTGAACTTATTGTAACACTTAATCCCAATATATTTTGGTGAATGCTGGCTTATTTGTAGTCCTGAAAAAAGGTTGATGGATGTTAAATTTTAATCTAGTATCATATGAGTGCAGGTCTTTATTTTTCTTAAATATATGCTCATTATCTTTTATGTATAAAATTAGTTGAAAAATAAAAAGGGAAGGTAGTGTTAAAATTTAGGTGTTTTCTTGAAAAGTTCTTTACATGATGTTGTTGGTGTCACCTTATACATGGCTCTCAGAACCTTCTTTTGAAATACAAAAGCTCTTTCAAAGTATGGTGAAGAACCCCAAAATATTAACCCATATTGTAGAGTTGAATGAACCAAACCAAAATAGCATAGTTTTAAAGTATCAAAAGATAGTGTCTCCCTTAAATTTTTGATGATATAACAACAAATACTTAATTTTGAAGTTACCATTTTTATATGAGCTTCCCAATTTAATTTGGGATCTAATATTATTTCTAAAAATTTTGTCATCAACACTTTGAATAGTTTTTCCGTCAACGTGCAAGTAGGGTTCGTAATCTGGTAATATGTTTTTGGGTAGAAATTGCATGAAATTTGTTTTTGTTACATTTAAAGCCAGACTGTTATTTTTACAATACTGGTTAAACTCACGAGATGCCTTGTTGCTACTTTGAGTGACCTGTTCAATTTGATCATCTGCCATTACAATATTGGTATCATCAGCATATTGAACTATTTGTTGAGAGCTTAAACAAAAATTACTTATATCACTTATAAAAACTATAAAAAGAAATGGGCCCAAAATTGAACCTTGGGAAACTCCTATTGTACATGGAAGAGGATCAGATTTTAGACTATTTGTTACAATTACTTGAGTTCAATTTATTAAGTAAGACTGTATCCATTCATAAGGTTTCCCTCATATTCCTAACCCATTCATCTTCAATAATAAAAGATTATGATCAACCATATCAAATGCACGGTTAAGGTCATAGAAGAGTCCCAAAATATGTTTTTTATCATTGAGTGCTTGATATATAAACTCTAGGCAAGCTGCAATTGCAGTAGATGTTGACTTATTTTTTCTAAATCCATTTTGAGTATCTGGCAACATATTAAAACTTTCAAGGTAATTAGTGAGTCTAATAAAGTATTTTAGTATATTTGACTAGATATACAGATTAAACGATAATTTTCTATATTAGATGCAGATCCCTTATTTTTATAAACAGGAATTCCTTTAGATTCCTTCATATTTGGGAATAATCCTGAAACAAAGGATTCATTAATCAAATGTGATATGGGTTCAGCAATACAATGAGCAACTGATAACAGAATTTTACCATTTATTTCGTCAATACCTTCAGTGGGTTTAGAAGTAGTTTTTTTGATTATAGTGATGATTTCACTAGCAGTTGTTGGAAAAAGAAAAAACTTTAATGATGTGTATCAATACTCATAGTATAGTTAGGTACAATATTATTTTTATTTACATTAATAAAATAGTCATTGATATAATTTACTTTTTCTAAGGGTGTTAATTTGTCATCATTTGTAAGTTTAATAGGATTCAATAAGTTGTTTTTTCTTTTTCCCCTACTCTTGTTTATTATATTCCAGGATTCTTTCATTACGTTATTACTTTTTAAAATGCGATCATTATTTTTTCTTCTCAAATATTGTTTTGTTATTTTTTGATACTCTTTTTTTAAATTATTGTAACGTTCTGTATAATATGTAGAATTTATTTCTTTCTTTAACCTGTTCATTTCACTTAATAGATTATGTAACTCTTTAATATGAGGTGGAAACTGATTTTTTAATTTTTGTGGTTTTATCGCTTTCTTTGTTTTCGTAAATACAGTAATGTAGTGGTATAGGAATGATTCATAAAAGATAGAAAATTTATCATTAAAATTAGTAGATGTGTATACTTCACGCCAATTTTCAACTGATAAAATATTTATAAAAGTTATTGCGTTAGGATCAGTTAAATCTCGTTTATATCTGTATTTAAATTCGTTATTTTCAAAATTAGGTAGTTTAATCGAACATAATAAGTATTTATGATCAGACAAAAAAGTATCATATACACCCATCTTATCTACATCAAAATTGGTAAAAAAATTATCTAAACAAGTTGAGGTTGTACTTGTTGTAACATTTATATGATGTTTAATATTAAATTCCTTCAGTAAGTCAATTAAAACAGTTCTTAGATTACCTTCAATCAAAAAATCTACGTTAATATCACCACAGATAAAATAGTGATTGTCGTTTTGATAAATATTATGAATTAATAGCTCTAGCTGATTTATAAAAGTGCTAAACTTAGTACAAGGTGGCTTATACACAGTAATAATAAATAAAAAAAGTTTTGAATCGATCTTTATTTTTCCACCTTCTATACACCACCTATGTAAATTAATTGATTCAAAATTTGCAGCAATACTTGTTTTCATAAATATACTAGCACCACCTTTTTCTTTATTTATCCTTAAAAAATATGATACTAGCTTAAAATCGTCAATTGAGGTAGGTTGAAAATTGTTAGAATCAAGCCAATGTTCAGTAACACATAGAATACTTACATTTTGTTACTGTAAAATTAAATTTGAATCAAAGCATTTATTGGCAAAACCTCCCTGTATATTGATATGCATTAAAGTACTATTAAACTGTTGGGAACTGCAGATTTGAAGTAAAGGCTAGACTTGAAAAATGTTTTTCACTCTTATGCGATCTCTGGTTTTGTGAATCTTCAAGAAATTGCTGACCTTGTTTAAAGTTGATTCGGGAATAAATTATATTTTTTTGGCCAAAAATTGATTTATATACTTGCTCCTGAAAATGAGAATCTATTCCCACTAGAAAAGCTTGATTATTCTGTCTTACAAAATATGTGTCTAGTTTCTTCACATAAATGTCTTCGGCGGTTGTGAGTTTATGAATGTATTTCTTAACATTCTCTTCATTTACAGTGTCTGATACTCTAGATACAAAGAGCTAAATTTTTTTGTTTGATTTTTCTCCTTTAAATTCATCATCACCTTCTCCACTTCCCATAATTGTTTTGTTTTTTCTCCTTTGCCGTCTTGTTACTGTGATATAATCATTCTCATGACTCCCCTCATTGGTATCATCTGCTAGATTTATTATTTCATTAGTTTTTTGTAGTGTTTGAATTTTCATTAGTTCTAATGCAACTTGTTTCCTTTGGAGGAATGAGTCATCCTGTACAGGGGCATTCCTATAATCGCTTGTGTTTTTGTTTGTTGATTTATACCTAATGAATTTGAGTGGTAAAATTTTTTAGTTTTAAAAATTATTCTTATGGTGCCTTAACATCTTATGATTAAGGTAGTGTTTGCAAATGTCAACAAATTTCCTGAATTACAATCTGCTTTTTTTACAGCTCCTTATAGTACTATATTCAACAATGTTACAAGTAGAAGCCCTCTTTTCTGTGTCCTTTTCTAGGTTAAATATAAAATAAAAATTGGATTGAATGGTACACTATATGTGGAAAAACAATTAAATTCCTTATAATTTTTCATAAAAGAGGGAAGGGATTAAATGTTAGACAATCAATTATCATATATTTTTTAATTTAGCATGATAGTCTCTGTTGTTTCTAAATGCTGAATATTTCAAATAACATGTATGACATAACTTTCTCAATATCAGTAGTTGTTTACAAAATGTTATAGATTAATTATTATTATTCAATAGAAACTATTACAGATTGTTGACACACTCGCACACAAACGTACACATTCATTTTAAATCAAATTTTAAATGGATGTTAGATACATTACATAAAACAATCTAAAACATGACAAGTTATTTGATAAATTCATTTCCATACCATTATTCTGGTCAGCAAAATATATAATTGTTCAGGGTAAACCAACTTCAACAAATTTTTGTTATAAAAATCATATTTTGAATGTCTTTGAGAACAAATTGCAATTTAATAGTATGATCTAAAAGGACAAATAAAGATTTATTATTATTATAGTATATACACCGATTTGTCATAAACATTTGACTGAAATAATTTGAAAATTTGGAAACAAATCTCAAAAATTCCCCTACGAATTATTAAGACCATCCCTGAACCCCAAAGGATACTTGGAGGTTTGAAAAAAGCCTGGTATTCGAACCCAGATATCTTTATAATAATAATAATTGTCATTTATTGAACTGAAAATTCAATAGAGTTAATCACAATAATAAGTAAACTTGAGTCTCTTATGATAAATAGAAGGATTTTGAATTGGATCAGAGGTTTCATATCGAATAGAGTGCTATGTATCAAAATTAATAATTTTGTATTAAATGTACTAGATGCTCCTTTAGGAGTACCACAGGGTTCTCACTGTTGACCAATTTTCTTTTAGATAGCTCTCCTATTTATTGTTCTTGCACATGGCAAGATTGCATAAACCTCAGCTTAAAATACTGAAACTTGTGAATAAATGAATAATTCTTTAATTTTATTAGCTATTTTTTTATTTTTGGATGGTTTTTTAAGATAAACATATTGAGTGGATTTTTCTTTTCTTTTTTCCACCATTAATTGATAATTTTAGGTATATATTTTTTATTTAAAAATATAAAATATTCTAGGTCCTCAAGGAAGTTACAAGAAATTGTTGGACAAAATATGTGATCAAAATGCAAAAGAAGAGGTACTTTTCAATTACCTCAATGCATTTGTCAAACTTACATTAAAACATGGGGACGACTTTGGATACAGCATTGAAGAAATCTTAACATGGTAAGTTTTGTATTGTATTCTATAGTTAAAAATAATTTCAATTGAATACTAAATAAGTTTATTTTTCAGTCTTAGAATTCCTCTGACTCACAATTCAGCACAAATAAGAATGGCTGGTCTAAGATGTATACGACATATGCTTAAAACTGAGAATGATGTTGTACAGTTAAATAAATTATTAATACCTTATTTATTAACAAGGTGCGTATTATTGAATTTATTAAGTTACTACCTATAGTATTATCTGAGTTCAATAACAAATTTAACAGCTTTTATTCGACTTATTTGTACCATATTAACAACTCTTTTACATTTAAAAAAGTTGTTAAAAAATAATTTTTATAATGTGGAACTAAGCGCACTGCATGAGATGCTGTGTGAATTACATAGTATATACATAACTAGTAATAATGATACTATTAGGGATAGATATAAAAAACTCAATACAATTTATGATAATAAAGTCAAATCAGTAAAACTCTCCTACAATAATAAAAGGGCAATTAATGTAAAAAATTCAACAAAAGAATGTTGGAGAATTGTAAATGAGGCAAAAGGAAAATCAGTAAAAAATTACCCATCGAGATGCTAAATTGTCAAGGCAACAAAATTTCTGGTGTACAAAATATATGTAATGCTTTTAATAATCAGTTTACTGATGTAGACTATCTTCTACCAAATTATAGTGAAGCAAGGCTTCAAGATTTTTCTATAAGCACTCTATTTTTAACACCAACTACCCCAAAGGAAATAACAAAAATTATGCAGAAAACAACTTGTAAAAAATCTGCCAGTATAGATGAAATATTTTTTATTTTTAATATTTTAATAGTTATAGGTTACAATGAGTTACAATAATAAATAAGTTACAATAAAGTACATTAATGGAAACCAATTATATAATAACAAGCACCTAGGTGAGAACACCTGTATGTGCTGACAAAAATTTAAATTTTATTTTAATTATATTTAATGAATTATAAAAGAAAAGAAAAAACTTTTTTTTTATTAAAAATAAAACTTGAACAATTTGTGCAAGAAACAGAAAAAAAAACTATTTAAAAAAAATCCATGTATTAAGTCCGTTATTCTTGGAATATTCTGATAAACTTTGCATTATTTTGGAAAATGTATATTTTGCTAACTTTATAGAATTTTTTATATTTGTTTAATAATTTTATATGAAGAGGTAGAGCGTTATAGAACTTCGTCTCTAGATAATTTACACTGTTTTTAAAAAACTCACTATTTGGTTTTGGTACTTTAATGCACATGTTCGATGCAGTTCTAATGTTATGTCTATGTTCTAAAGGGTTTTTTAAACATTCATTTTTTTTGTATATAACAACACACGGCGTGAATATATAAACACCTAACATTGCTAATTTTTTCATTATATAAAGTTATGGTGGGATACCTATCTCTTTTATATATTAACTTCAAGATTTTGTTTTGAATAACATTTAACTAATTTAATGTAGTTCCATACAAGCCTCCCCATACTAAGATTCCATACCGTAGTATAGATTCTACTAGACTGTAGTATAATGTTATTAGTAGATCCTGGTTGAGAAATTGTTTTAGAAGATAAAATTTATGAATCAGAAATCTAAGTTTTTTTTTCTATATATATTATATGGCACTCCCATTTTAAGTACTGGTCTATAATTATACCTAAATATTTGGATGTTTCTGTTTCCTGTATGTCTAAATGTTGACATGTTAAGCTTCTAAATTGAGGTCGATCAGCCACTGTCTTTGAAAAAGCAATGTAGTTTGTTTTGTTAACATTCAAAGACAATTTAAAAACATCCAGCCAGTTTTTCACATGTTCCATTCCAGCTATAGCACGTGTCTTGACTGCTTCCCAATCTTTATCACTGAAGACTAGCACCGTATCATCAGCATATGATAGAACTTTACCTTGAATAGCAATCTGAGTTAAGCTCTTAATGTATAAATTAAATAGTATAGGTCCCAGAACAGTCCCTTGAGGCACTCCTATTTGTATATTTTCAGGGTTACTCACATTGTCTCTGATCTTTACCTGCTGTTGTCTGTGTGTCAAATAATGTTCAAAAACCTTCAACACGATGCCCTCACTCCATTCTGTTCAAGAATATTTAAGAGCTTCTGATGTGGCACCATGTCAAATGCTTTTGCTAGATCTAGAAATATAGCAATATACTTGTTACCAGTATTCATTTCATCAGTAACATATGAAATCAATTCATGCATAGCATCTCCTGAGTTAAGACCCTCAGTAAAGCCATATTGGTACTTGGGAAGTAAGTCATTAGTTTTTAAAAAATCTGTCAGTCTATCTTTCACACATTTCTCAAATATTTTGGCCACATTACTAATTAAACTAATAGGCCTATAGTTAGTTATTAATTTTGGATTACCAGCTTTATAAATAGGTGTTATAATTGAAGTTTTAAATTGTTTAGGTACAATTCCTGTATTAAAAATACAATGAATTATATGCATTAAAGGTTCCAGTAAATACGGATGTAGTAGTTTCAGATGTTTTACTGTTATACAATCAAATCCCGGGGTGTGTGATTAAATTTAGGTTTCCCTTGGCTATGGATACTAAGTCCATTTGCCAGAAATCCTGGGGTACTATTGTTTTTTAAACTATTTTTCAAAAACATTGATTTTTCAGTGACACAGGAAAATCCACATTACATTCAGGGATATTTATGAATACATTAGTGCCAATAGTCGAAAAGTAGTTATTGCAGTAATTCGCCATTTCATTGTCATTTTCAAATTCCTCATTATGTTGGTTAACAATCTGTAAATTGGTATTATTTTTTTTTATGATTTTCATTAGCTGCTTCAGAGATTAATTGATAAGTTTTTTCAAATCATTTTTGTTTTGGTTTATTTTATTGTTATAATAGTCATTTTTAGTTTTTGATATTAGTTTGTTTAAATTATTTCTAAATGTTTTTTAGTGAGTTTGTTAATAGTATAGTTTTTTTTGTAGATCTTTTTTAAGTTTATCCCTAGTTTTAATAGAATTAATTAAACCATTTGTTATCCATGGCTTTATTTTTTATGGATTTTAATTTTAATATTTTGAGTGGTTTGACATGTTTCAATGATATTAAGATACGTGTCATAAAAAAGTTGTGTTATACGCGATACTAAGCTAGATATTTGAGACACTACTTCTCTTATTTCTTTTTTTTTCTGTATTTCGTTTTTATTACTTAAACATTTTGAGGCAAATGGACACCGTCCGAACCATATCTCTCACACAACAACAACAACAACAAAGTTGTGTTGCATTTTCTGGATTATTTTCATTGCAAACACTTTCCCAGTTTACAGTTTCGAATTTTTGTTTTAATTTATCAGTATCGATTTTAGTTATACAGGGTGTTATTGAAATACACGTACATATTAAAACTGGGTATTGCGCAGATCCCCACTGAATGTAGAAAAATATTATTTTTTAAAAATACCCCTTATTAAGGGAGTTATTAATTTTTGAAAATTAATTCTAAAACAAACGTACTTCACTGATATGTTGAGGATGACCTATATAAATTAGGTTTATTTACCTATTTTAAGCATCAACAGTAATTAATATGCAAGTTTTTGTCAGATGATAAGAAAACTAGTCTTGTAAGAAATAACCATGTTGCCAAGATTTTCGAATTAATTTCTATTTCCGAAGACTGGTTTTTACTACCCTCGTTATCAAAAAACTAGAATATTTGATAAATGATTGTTTTTAAACTATACATTTTTGAAACTATAGATTTTTAAAATTTTAGTTGATTTACGAATCTGGCTAACACGAGCGCGTCATTTCCAAGTTGGTAAAAAGTGTTGTTACGATTACTTTTAAATATTTTTTTACGATGCCACTATTTACGAATATTGAACTAACGGATATAGTGCTGGTTTATGGGGCAGCTGGAGAAAATTCTCGGCAAGCACAAATTCTGTATCGCGAACGGTTTCCAAATCGGAGAATTCCGGACTGTCGTACAATTATTTCAACTGTTCAGCATCTAAGAGACCATGGAAAATTTGAGAGTGTCAATGCAGATCGAGGGAGAACAAGAACACAAAGAACATTGGCGGCCGAAGAAGAAATATTGGAAGCTGTTGAAAACCGGCCTCAATTAAGTTGTAGAAGAATAGGTCTTGAAATTGGAGTGTCCTCATTTGTTGTGTGGTGGACACTTAAAGAACAAGATTTACATCCTTATCACATCCAAAAAGTCCAGGCCTTATATCCAGGTGATGAAGAAAAGAGAGTGGAGTTTTGTGAATGGATGATTCAAAAATGTGTTGATATTCCTGATTTTCTAAAAATATTATTGTATACTGACGAGGCTTCATTCACTCGTGATGGCGTGTTCAATATGCACAATACGCATATTTGGAGTGATGAAAATCCTCACGCCATTAGGGAAACTGGGCATCAAAGAAAATGTTCAATAAATGTTTGGGCTGGCATAATAGATCAGTATTTAATCGGGCCTTATGTTCTCCCGAACAGATTAAATGGGCCAGGATATCTCCACTTTTTAGAAGATATTTTGCCAGTACTCCTAGAAGAGATACCGTTACAATTAAGGCAACGGATGTGGTACCTACTAGATGGCGCTCCTCCTCACTTTGATTTAAACGTACGGCAGTTTTTGAACATTAGATTTCCTCAAAAGTGGATAGGCAGAAATGGACCTACTAAGTGGCCTCCGAGATATCCGGACTTAAATCCATGCGATTTCTTTTTGGTGGGGTCACATGAAACAACTGGTTTATAATGAACCTATTAATAGTGTTGAATAATTAACCAATAAAGTTAATGCGGTAGCCGAGGAACTACGACAAAATCCAAGACTAATTTCTAATGTTCAAAGTTCTTTGGAAAGACGATTGCAAGTGTGTGTAAATAATAATGGACGGCATTTTGAACAATTACTGTAATAAACTTTATTTTGAATTAATTGGTTTTGCTACGGCAACAGTGCAATTTCTATGGGTAAGTTCAATTTCGATTTATTTTACTTCTTTAAATATGGAAACTAGTAGGTCGGAAAAGGGGACTCTTCCCCAATATTTAAATTTTAGAATTTGAAGTTAAAATTGGTGCCAATCGTTTTTGGTCATTACATACTATTCCCCATTTTAATATGTACGTGTATTTCAATAACACCCTGTATATGTATTGT